GTTAAGTTGTTACTTTGAAAGGATAAACAAAATTGACATTCCACTAGTAAATCAAGCAATAGGAGATGCAAATATCACAAATAAGAAAGGAAATCGGTACCATCACAACAGCATCAACTGAAATATAAAAGATACTAACATAATACTCTAAATGACTCTACCCCAACCAATTTGAAAACCTATAAGAAATGGATCAATTCCTAGAAACATATTACCTACCTAAACGAACAGACTGATGTAAAAAACAGACCATAATACATGAAGAAATTGGCCAGTCTTTAAAAAACTCCCAACAGTAAAAAGTTGGGATTCAGATGGCTGCACTGGCGAATTCTACCACAGATTCAAGAGAAGAGTTGACTCCAATGCTACTTAGCTACTTCAGACCATTGAAATGGATGGTAAAATTCATTTTATGGAGCAAGTGATCCCAAACACTGATACCAAAACCAGGCAAAGGCATTACCAGAATAGAAAATTTTAGAACAATATCCCTCAATAAAATCGATGCAAAAATTCTGAACAAAATCCTAGTCAAAAGGATCCAACAATATATCCAAAATATACCATGAACATGCCAGAATCACACCAACTATATGCTAGGATCGTTCAACATTAGAAAAAAGAATCAATGTAATCCAACATAACATGAAACGCAGGAAAAGAAATACATGATCTAATCAATTGATGCAAAAAAAGCATAGGACAAAATTCAACATTGATTCTTGATCAAATCACTCAACAAAATAGGTAAAGAGCAAAATTTCATCCACATAATAAAAAATGTTGCGTCATAAAATGATGACAATGTCTCTAAAGTGAACCATAGAGACATATAAACCATAGATAAATGAATGGATTGGGCGCTCTCACTTAGAATTAGTTCTGATGATATGGCCTTGGTTGATGCTCACGCTGATGAAGAGATTAATGGAGAGATGTGTGCTTTGGTGAAGAAGCCAGGTGGCTATCAGAAAGAACAGCATCTGGAATCTTAGAAAGGCTTCTTTTATAAGAAGCAGCCATGTAAGTGAAGTGTGAACTAAGCCCACATGTAAGGAGCACACCAACCTGTGTGATCCAAGGATTGTAAATAAAACAACCCCAAAATTCATAGGAGGGAACCATATCAGAGCTTAGATTGTGAACACCTGGTTTTAAGAAGGCTACAGATGACAGTGGAAGCCCCAAATCCATTTGTAGGGACCCCATATGGGTTAAGTTTCCGGTAAATCCCCTTTGACCAAAGCTCAGGGATGTGAGTAGTCTTACCAGGCAGAGAGCATTGCAGTCAATGGTAGTTAGGTTAAAATGTAACACCCTCTCCCTTTTAACCCATTTTTATGTTGTTTCAATTTTTAATACTTTCTGCTTTCTTTTCGATTGAGGTTTTTGTTTTGTCATAGTTGGTGGGCTTTTTTGTTTGCTTCTTTTCTCGAGTTTCTGTATATGAAATCTAGGATAAATAAATTTATACAGACAGCATCTAGACTACTAATTACCTCAGGGTGTGGCAGGGGGAAATAGTGGGAGTAGGGAGCTAACAACAAAGAGTACAAAAGGAAAATATTCTGAAACGGACTGTAGTGATGATGACATAATTCCTCTTACTATTTAGAATGACTAAAGTGTATGACATGTGAAGTATTTGCCAATAGATTAAAAATAGACCTAAATGCAAATAAATCCTAGAACTATAAAGATCATCAATGAAAGAAATAAGGACAACCTTAGGGGCCCTAATACATGGCATAAACACACTATAAAATGTAACAAGACACACACACACACACACAACCTTAGGGGCCCTAATACATGGCATAAACACACTATAAAATGTAACAAGACACACACACACACACACACACACACAACCTTAGGGGCCCTAATACATGGCATAAATACACTATAAAATGTAACCCCCCCCCCCACACACACACACGATACACTAGATTGGGACTTCACCAAAAGAGTAAATAGAACCCACAGATTAGAAAAAAAATGGCAATGACATATCAGACTAGGGACTAATCTTTAAAAATCTGCAGATTTTAAAGAAAACTTCACTTCAACAGGAAAACATTGAACAATCCTATTAAAGATAGGTAGAAGACATGAATAGACAGCTCACCACAGAAGACATTTAGGTGGCCAACAGATGCAAAGCACAAGAATAATGAAATATCACTTAGACCAGAATTGATAGCAAAGGTCAAAAAAGAAGAAAATTACAAATGCTGGAGTGTGGAAAGATTGGAACTCTCCTACACTGCTAGTGGGTCTGTAAAGCTACACAAAACGGTATGGCGTTTCCTCACACAACTGGGAATAGACATACCATATGATCCAGCAATCCAGTTACTCAGTATATAACCTATAGAAATAAGAGCTGTAGAACACACACCCATGTCCATCCTAGCACTATTTACAGTAACAAAGAGATGTAAGCAACCTAAATGTTCACCAGTGGAAGAATGGATAAGCAACCTTTGGTACATATACACAATGGAATACTATGCATCATTAAAGAATAATGCTGAATCTGTAAAATATCCATATGGATTAATCTGGAGGAAAGTATAATGAGTTGAATTAATCAATAAAAAACAACAACTACTATATTAGGGCACTATTATAAAAAGTCATTAAGAGGTTTCCACACAAGAAATATTCCTTGATGGCCACCAGAGGTGGGAAAGGAGAGAGGCATGAGAAGTTACCAGCTAGAGAGCAGACAAGTGTTAAATTGTGTGGAAGGGAAGGTAATATGTAATAAAAGGGAGGTTTGGAAAAATGGTGGCAGGGGAAAACACTGGGAGGTTTGCAAAAGTTAAACGCACCCAAAGCAAACAGCATTATGTACAATATCATGAAATAGCTGTGATATTGTGATATTTCTATGAGTTGGCATCGGAAAAATTGTGAGGATGGCGCAGGATCGGGCAGTGTTTCGTTCTGTTGTATACAGGATTGTTATGGGTCAGAAACTCATGGCACTTAACAATAAAAACAAGAATGGATAGACACGTAGGCTGAATCGGCAGGAGGGATGAGTGGAAATATACCCATGAATATATATGTCTGTGCATACACATAAATGAATATATATATTTGTCTATGTTTACTTAGGCTGCAGTATACCCATGAATGTGGTGGAGACTACAAGAGACAAGGTTATGAAAATTTCTTAGAGATAACCCAACACCTTGAAAGGATGAGTTGCTAGGCCCGGGGGATCTGGATTATGACGGGTGGGTTTTGTGCCAACTTGGCACGAGGGGTCCAACCTATTAATTAGGTCACAACCTTGTGGCACCTTGTTGGGGATGTAGGCTTTTTATACAAGGTGCTGTGTAGGGAATGGGCCTCTCATCCCTTGCCTCCTTCCTGCTTGAGTCTATCCTGTGCCTGGTTTCTGGGGCCGGCGGCCTATGTGGCCTGCTGACGCTGGGTCCATGCACCTCTGTACCCACCTAACTGATCTCTCAGGTTCCCATTTTGTCTTCCTGCTTCACCGGCCGGCAGCTGTGAGTCAGGAGGGACCTGTAGCTAGCATCTGCCCCATGGACTTGAGTTGGACTGGTCCATTTGATATGTTTCTTTCTTGATAGAAAGTTTTGGGTTTTTACACAAGTAAGTGTCACTAGTCCTGTTTCCCCAGAAAACCCAGCCTGAAACAAGAACCATAGTGTCAGGGGCACCAGAGTCCATTTGTTTAGCTAAAAACAGTGTTCTACATCTTAATTTGGTGAGTAGTGACAGGGGTCTTAAAAGATCTTGAGTGGCCAACTAATTATTGATCTCTCCCTGTGATGAAAATCAAAAATATGCAAAAAATTAGTACAATGCACCAATGGGTCATGCAACCATCAGTTTTCACAATCTTAAGACTAGAAGAACTAGATAGTGTCTGGTTACTTCTACCAAATGCTCTGAAAAGGATCACCTTAGATTAGAAATGATTGGAAAGTCCTCGATAGCGGGAGCCTGGGTAGTGTAGTGATTATGCTTTGGGCTGCTAACTACAAGGTCAGCAGTTTGAAAACCCCTGTGGCTCCACAGGATAAAGACTATGCATTCGACTCCCATACAGAGTACAGTTTGGAGACCCACCAGGGCAGGTCTTCTCTGTCCTAAAGGGTCATGGGTCAGAATTATGAGTTTGGTTTGTTTTTGGATAGAGGGAAGTAAAATACAGAACAGAATTCAAAATCCTAACACCAGGCTTACTGGTCTCTTTACCAGTGGGTCAAGACCATGGCCTTTATCCTTAAGTTCATGATCTGAGACCCATCTTTGCAAAAGGGTTGAGTAGCAAAATTACAGTTATGAAGTAGCAACAAAAATAATTTTATGGGGGGGGGGGCCCACAACATGAGGAACTGTATTAGAGTCGTGGAATTAGGAAGGGTGGGAATCACTGGTTTAGAGGGTTAGAAAAGAAGGAGCAATACAAACAAGAAACACAGGGAAGCAGTAGGATAAGTGAATGGACATTGGATGGACATGGAAGGTTGAATCAGAATATATATGAATTATTACATGTAAAACTAGGACTTGCTCTGTAAATCTTTATCCAATTCACAATAAATTTTTTTTTAAACTTCTTAAAAGGAGCAATATTTCTAATTTACTGAAAGCTAAAACTATTATGTCATCAGATTAAAAATGTCTTTTCTTTATATAGTCTCAATAATTAAAGAATATATTAAGGATTTAAAGAATACATTTATATTTTCTCACTTAATGGCTCATCAGTTTGATTAGGCCTTAACTGTCTTGCAACTTGAGGTACCTGTCAATGGAAACAGTGACTCAGAGGTAATATTTAAAGTAAATGTACAAGAGTTTCAAATATAAGTTAAAGAAGTACTTCAAACGATTAAAAGGGGGACAGTTTCAATTCCTTCTGTAAGTTCAGGGAAAATTCCACAATTATATAATAATCTATTTTACTGTTCACATGAATTTGAAACTATAGGATTCATTGTTTGACTTACCTCTGAATCTGAATCCTTACTAGGTTGAGAAAGTTCTGATGTGTTTGAATTGTCTGGTGATAATCCTAAGCTTTCTTGTAATTGTGAAAACCTCCCCATTTCATCTAAGGGAAGAGATTCATCCATTGACTCATCATTCTTTGATGGAGATAGATCAGATACCTTACTCTTCTCAGGCAGAGAGGTGGGAGAAACACTTTTTCTATGGAACGGCTGCAGTGATGTGTTTTGACAGGGGGTAGAAGTTCTTGAAAAGTCTTTAAGGCTTCCAGGCCAACCAAAACAACCCAGAGTCCTCTGAGTAGCTGGTGAGACGGTCCTTGTGAATCTGCTAGTCTTTAAAGTCTGAGACTCTTCATCAGCAAACACGGTTTTGTCTTCTGGAATCTGATCACCTGAATTTTGTGCTACAGTTTTATCAACCAGTTTCTTGCCATCCAGACAATCTAATTCTTTTAGTTTGGTCTCTTCATTTGTGACAACACTTTCATCTAAAAGCTGGCTGTTTTCGTTCTCGGATGCACAGTCCGCAGAATCTAGGGAACTGCAAAAAAACCTAGGACAGCAGAAATATAGATGAGTTTTTCTGAGTTTTCATATAAGAACATCAAAATTCAAAATAGAATAATTGCTTAGTTTCTTTAAAAAATAGTTGCATAAGTATATACTTCCATAAACAAAGATAATGTAGTTCTTGCAATGCAAAGTTTAAGTTATGATCATGCCAACATTCAACAGTTAAGATATTTTAGTTAGAACGCCATTTAAATAGGACAAGGGAATAGTGAATGGTTGAAAATCTAGAAAGTATTCATCAAGGATGTATTTCTTCACCATACTTATTCAATCTGTATGCTCAGCAAATAATCCTAGAAGTGGGACTATTGGAAAAATGTGGCATCAGGATTGGAGGAAGGTTTATTAACAACCCGAGATATACGGATGAGAAAACCTTGCTTGCTGCAAGTGAGGAGTCCCTGAAGCACTTGCTAATGAACATTAGGGAGTGTATCCTTCAGCGTGGATTACAACTCAATGTGAACAATCAAACAAACAAACAAACAAAAAACCCTCACTGCCTGCCATGAGAAAATTCTAACTCAGTGACCCTACAGATAGGGTAGAAGTGCCCTTGTGGGTTTCCAAGGCTCTTTTTAGGAGTAGAAAGCCTCTTCTTTCTTCCATGGAGCAGCTGGTGATTTCAAACTGCTGCCCTTGGAGTTAGCAGCCCAAAGCATCATCACTACTCCACGAGGGTTCTTAACTCAATGTAAAGAAAAAGAAAACCCTCATAACTGGAACAATAGACATAACAAATGAATAAAGACTGACGTCAAGAAATTCATTTTGTTTGGATCCAAAGTCAATGCTTACAGAAGTAGCAGTCAAGCAGTATTGAACTTGACATATCTGCTACAAAAGGCCATTCTAAAGAAAAATTCATTGTAGAGACAGCAAAGGAATGGGTGGTTGTGGCTTTTTTGTACATTGGCTGCTGAGTCAGATCTGATTCTACAGCACCTAACAGTAACATATAACACAGGCCAGAAAATTATAAATACAAAATTTGCTCCCCATTATTTCAAAGGAAGCTGACAGAGTTAAAAAACAAACAAACTACTTTTGCAGCATCTCTTAATGTACTCTCTGAAGGATTTATTAGAGAAATATCTAGATAATCTATAAAAAGTCACTGAGGATAATTTTTAACTTGGGAGATTTTATTAAACTTCAAGAATGGTTAAGTATGCAAATCCAGGAGAGATATGCAATCATCTTTCTAACTAGTTGCCTTCAAAATACAGTTGAGCACTAAGTAGAAGAGAGAAAATATTTTCTGATCCTAGGTGCTGGACTGGGCAGTTTTTCTTTCTGTTAACTCATAGGGTCAGTATGAGTGAAAACTGATTTGACAGCACCTATCAACAATGATGAAACATGGAATACCACTTCTAAAAATGTCTCCAAGTGAGAGGAATCAACTTTCCAGGGCCTATTAATTGGCAAACATCACCAAGAACCCCTTTTTGCCCTATTTTGTACAAAAACGTTAACCATAATTCTAATGAGGCTGACTAGCGAAATAATAATCAAAACGATCATTTAATTATATTGCTTTATGAAGAAACCAAAACAAAATTAAACCATTGCTGCCAAATCGCTTCTGACTCCTAGTGACCCCACAGGCTGACTAGCGAAATAATAATCAAAACGATCATTTAATTATATTGCTTTATGAAGAAACCAAAACAAAATTAAACCATTGCTGCAAAATCGCTTCTGACTCCTAGTGACCCCACAGGACAGAGGAGAACTACTCCACAGGGTTTCCAAGGCTATAATCTTTATGGAAGCAGAGCGCCATGTCTGCTAGTTTCCAACTAAGCTTCAAGGTTGGCAGCCAAGCTAACTGCACCATTGGACTCCTTGTTTTGTGAATGCTTCTTAGAAAAGATTAGATGGCCAAAAGGTTTGAAACACTACCTAAAGTGAATTTCAGTGGTTCATCCATTCATACCTATTCCCATTTATCATGGCTAGACAAAACTTAGCTGCAGACCAATTTATTGAACTTGAAGATCAAACACACCAATCTATTCTGAGTCTTCTAGAAGAATAGGCAGGCTATGAAGTGTCAAGGATTTCATTTCATTTGGATTCACAACCAACACCCTTGGAAACAACTATCAAGAAATAAAGGTGACCTTACAAATCTGGCTAGATCGGAGAACACACATTGGCACAGATAAGAGCTCTTGACACATGGAATTCAGGACAGATAAACCCCTCAGGAACAGTAATGGGAGTATAGATATCATGGGGGGTAGGGGGATAGTCTGGGAGGGGGAAGAGGGAGAAAGGGGGAACCCACCACAAGGTTGGCTATATATCCGCCCTGCCCCACGAAGGGGACAAATAACAGAAATGTGGGTGAACGGAGACAACAGACAATATAAGATATGAAATAATAATAACAATATATAATTGATCAAGGATTCACTAGGGTGGGAAAGTGGGGAAGAAGAAAAATGTTTTGGAAATGATGATAGCAACATATGCTTGATACAATTAATGTATGGAATGTTAAGAGTTGAAAGAACCCTCAATAAAATGACTTTTAAAAAAAGAAAGAAAACTGCTGCAAAAGACCTCTTTACAGTGTTAAAAAACCCTGCCATGATTAAAACTCCTGAAATATTTCTATTGAGAAAAGAGTGAATTTCTTCATGTGTTATACAAGCTTTCCATGAACCAGTCTCTCCCATCACCATTTACCTTCCCCCGCAACTTACACTGTGGCATCATAGCAATGATCAAGTAATAGCAAGTAATATTCCCCATACTCACGCCTTTGCTCAAGCGGCTTGACTGTATGGAGAAGGCATGTAGTTCCATTCTGAGTCTGCTTCACCTCCTAGTGATTTAAACCCTAACAGGATCTGCACAACATCTAGTGGTTACACATTGGGTTGCTAACTGCAAGGTCAGCAGTTTGAAATCACCAACTGCTCCATGGAAGAAAGACAAGGCTTTCTACTCCCATAAAAAGTGAGCCTCAGAAACCCTCAGGGGCAGTTCGACCCTGTCCTACAGAGCCAGTATGGGTCAGGACCACATCGGTGGTAGTTTATTTTGAGCAGCATTGCACATTCTTCTCTCTTAGCTTTTGCAACCACTGCCCTAGCATCAGATGGCTTTTTAATGCCCTTAAGAGTACCATACGCATCATTTTATCCCCATACTATGTTGAAATGTTTTATGTACCTACTTGCCCAATTAGACTATAAGCTTTTCAAAAGCAGAAATGATGCATTTTTCCTTTTTGAAACCATAGCACTTAGTTCTGGGTTCTCCATATTCCCACTGCCAGAGTTAACTCAAACTCACAGTGAACCTGTATCGGGTTTCCAAGACTGTAAATCTCTATAAGAAGACAGCCTCATCTTTCCCTTATGCAGTGGTAGGTGTGTCTGAACTGCCAAACTTGTGTGGTTAGCAGTCCAATGCATAATCCACAGCAGGTAATAGCAGACCTTCCTAATCACCTATGTTTGATATATTTCTAAGACTACTTTGTAAAAATTGTTTGGCTCTCAAAAAAAGGTAGAAATAAGGGTGAGGTGACCAATCTCTAAAATAAAATTTCTCTAATTAATATAACTTTATAAGGTCCTACGTGGAAAGATAACAAGTCATTGACATTCTTGAAGGTACTGGTGCACTTGAGTCTGAACTAAGGGAATACACAGTGGATTTGTAATAAGATTAAGATAAGTCCCACACCTACCCCACTAGTTTCATTGTTAATTTGAGACAAATAAAACGAACATCAATATGGTAATATAATGCAATAATGGAAAGCATTCTGTAACTCTTACTATACCTGCTTTTGGTCCCTGGAACCACAATGGCACCATGTTCTTCATTTTTTCTATGTAAAAATGTTGCGAATTTATTTCTTGTCCTAAGCAGTGGGCTTACGCTCTTTTTACCAACATTTCCATCTTCCAGCTCAGGAACAAACATTTCAGAAGTGCTCAGTGATTTATTACCTTCACATTTATCTTTCCTGGTCTTCTTTGTACATGAAGTAGAATACTGATTCAACAGATCATCTTCCGGCAACTCTTCTAATAAAAATAAAATCTTTTGTAATTCTTTGTTTCATTTGCAGCTAGATTTAACCTAATTTTACTGTTTATAAAGTACTGTTCTAAAAATAAAATTTCAAACATTTAAAACAGCATGCTTCACAATAGGAAATTCAAGGATGGCTCAAAAAGTTGCCTCAACTGTGCTTTCAATTTACAGGCATACCTCAGGGATACTGCAGGTTCTGTTCCAGACCACCATACTGAAATTAATGCTCATACTGCAATGCAAGGAGTTACATAACATCTTTGATTTCCTGGTGCCTATCAGTTATGTTGACATTATATCCTCTCTGGGTAGCTATGAGTTGGAATCAACTTGATGGCAGTGGGTTGGTTTTTATTGTTGATTTTTTTCCCCTTTGCTTTGGTAGTCTATTAAGTGTGCAATATAAAAAGCTTGAAATATTGTGAGAATTACCAACATGAAACAGAGACGCAAAGTGAATACATGCTGTTGGAAAATAGCACCAACAGACTTGCTTGACTCAGGGTAGCCACAATGTTTCCTCCCCGCTCCCATTACCATGACTCGAATTCGACCTTGGAAGTCTGGCTAGACCAGAGGATGTACACTGGTACAGATAGGAACTGAAAATACAGGGAATCCAGGACGGATGAGCCCTACAGGACCAGTGGTGTGAGTGGCAAAACAGGGAGGGTAAAGGGAGAATGGGTAGGAAAGAGGGAACCGATTACAAGGAACTATATGTGACCTCCTCCCTGGGGGACGGACAACAGAAAAGTGGGTGAAGGGAGACGTCAGACAGGGCAAGATATGACAAAATAACAATTTATAAATTATCAAGGGCTCATGAGGGAGGGGGGAGCGGGGAAGGAGAGGCAAAATGAGGACCTAATGCCGGGGGTTTAAGTGGAGAGGAAATGTTTTGAGAATGATGAGGGCAATGAATGTACAAATGCGCTTTACACAACTGATGTGTGTATGGATTGTGATAAGAGTTGTATGAGCCCCTAATAAAATGATTAAAAAAAAGCACCTCCAAATTGCTGACAGCAATAAAGCAAAGCACAACAAAATGAGGTATGCCTAAACACAAACTAGCTAATATTTAATATCAATTATTTGTACAATTTTGTATGACATGATTTAAATCAATGTTCTACTGGCTTTTGTATGCATGCATTGTACTAAAGATCTAGTTTTCAGTATAAAATAGTTAAAGGCACCTTACAGGTGAATATACAAGGGCGCTTCAAAAAGTCTTGATAAATGGAATTGAAAATCACATGTAGGTTGCCTCTAAAAAGATTTTTTAATGGAATGTGTACATGAAATTTTCATTACCCCTTGGAGTAATTAATCTCTAAAATTTTCATATAAAACAGTAGTTATACAAACCATCTATATGATATTTTTGAAAAATGTGATTGTCATGTAGTCAAAAGTAATGTGTGCTCTAATGTTGATCCTCTATTGCCTAGAAAACTGCTATATGTCAAGTATAATTTGTGGTATTGGAATAAATCTAAACACTAAATAATACAAACAAGTAAAGACTGACAAACGCACATAGAGAAAAGCTAGCTTTAAATTAATTAAACTCTCAGAATCCAAATAGTTACCATTCTATTCCATGGAGGTTAACCACACACTATCAGTTAACCAGTTGTTGTACAGCTGACTCTGACTCCTGGTGATTGCAGGTGAGTCAGAGTAGAGCTATGCCCCACAGTGTTTTTAATGGCTATTAAAAAACATTTCTTTTAATCACTAGATTTTTCTTCCAAGGAGCATATGCTTGGCCTTAAACTGTCAATCTTTCTATTTGAAGCTAAGAGTTTTAATGGTTTGTACCACTCAAGGATTCTTTAAGTACACACTTCTCTAGTCTTCAGGAAATCAATAATCTGTAAGAGATACTGGAACTAATAAACTTAACAAGGCTAAAGAATACAAAGTCAGTGTACAAAACTTTTTCTATATACTAGCAAAAAAACCCAAAAACTAGAAATCAAAATAAATATATAGTGCTCACCATAGTATAAAAAGAATATAAAATACCTAGGGATACATTTCACAACAGATGTGCAAAACCTGTGCATTGAAAACTGCAAAGTATTTCTAGTTAAATGAAAGAAGACTTACGTAAGTGTATCAGAAAACTCAATATTGTTTAGACGTCAGTTCTTCAGAAAGTGATCTATAATTCAACTAGAACCCAATAATAACTCAGAACTTTAGTTTAAAATTGCCAAACTGATTCTAAAATTCATATAAAAATGTCAAGGACATAGAGTAGCTAGCCAAACCAAACACCAAACCTATCAAGTCATAGTGACCTATTCAGAGTGACCATTTAAGACAAACTACAACTGCCCCATAAAGTTTCCAAGTTTGTAAATCTTTACAAAAGCAGCTTGCCACATATTTCCCCCAAGAAACAGCTGGTGGGTTCAAACCACTAACCTTCTGGTTAGGGGCTGCGTGCTTTAAGACATTGATTGCATCCACCAGGGCTCCTCACAATACTAAAGTTTTAAAAAGAACAAAGTTAGGGGAATTACAGTACCTGATTCTGAGATCGACTACCAAGCAATAGTAACTAAGTCAGTGTGCCTTTATAATGGTATAGGAAGAGAAATCAATGGTACAGAATCAGACCTATACTATCTATTGTCAGTTGGTAAATAAGCCAAAACAAGTCAATGTAAGAAAGACTATCATATTTAACAAACAATACTAAAACTATTGGGTTGCCATATATGAAAAGTGAACTCTGACCCTTGTATTACAACATATAACAAAATTAATTTGAAGTGGACCCTGTCTAAAGTAAGAGATAAAACTAAGACTTTCAGAAGAAAGTATAGTGACTTTGGGTTTGGCATTGATATCTTACAGGTAACCAAAACTCACTATTACTTCCCAGAAACAAAATACATACCACTTCTTGGTCTTTTGACCACAGATGGCTTCCTTGGAAGATTTAACCCTGTAGCACTAGTCATTTGTTTAATGCCTTTAGTACTTAGATTTTCTTTCTGTGGCGTAGACGCTGGAAATGTATCCAACTCATGTGTCCGCCAATAATTCTTGTGCCAAATGCTGTTAGCATTCGAGGTCTTTGGACATGTAATGTCATTCCAACTTTGACTTCTCATTTGGACAGGCTAAAACAACAAAGGAAAAAGAGTTAGTTGAAAAAGGAAAACAGGCAATTTATTTGCCTATGTATCAACATAAATATTAAGTATATTTATCTTTTAAAAGAACAGCTTTTGCTGAAAGACCTGTACTTTAACATTTCCTACTCACGGCCCCCTAGTTTTCTATTATATACACCATGTAATCCTAAATCTGTTTCCCATTAGCTCATTTCTAGGAACTAATCAATCTTCCTACAATGAGCAGAGCAACAAATGAGACTGCAACTGAAGAAATATGGCTAGAAAAAGTAGCACTTTTAAAGTTTTAGCACTGTATTTACAAAGAATATTAAAGTAGCTTCAGAATTACCTGGCAATAAGCCACCAAATAAGCATTCATGAACCCTTTACATACACCTACAGGTTAAAACTACAAAACTTTGCACTTACATAACCACTACCTCATCACTAGAAATTAGTTCAATTCAAACCATCAAAGAAACAAAATAAAACAGTGAAGCCTACAAAAGCCAGAACTTGTGTAAAGTGGAAATTTGACAGATAAGAGATATGCAAATCTTTTCCATTGATACCGAACAGAAATGTGCTAAGACTGCATTTTGTGAGACCTGGAGAACAAAATAGTCCTATTGCATTCCTGCTCTTTCCTGAGTTTCACTATAGTTTCTTTAAAGTGTGGGCATGCTAGCGTCACTAGTAGACAATACAGAGAAAAAGAAGGCTACTCTTTGGGCTACAATGAGTCTTACAAATGCTTACTGCCAATTAATATTGGTAAGGAATCAATCTAAAGGTCATTGTGGTGAAGCAAAATTGCTTGGCATGGTTCTTTTGTCCAGTCTCACAACTTCCCATCAGTGACTGAGTAGGAGCATGCAGATTAGGTGAAGGGACCCCTTAATTCAGCAATCAGTCCATTTTGCCATTCCACTGGGTTCAGGGAGCCATCTCAGAAGCGGGAACAGAGGAAAGCTGTAACCCTAAAAAAGAAAAGACGCCCCTGGAGCACATGGGAGCTCTCTCCCTGAGGTGGAGTAGCAGAGGCAGCAGAAGAGTAGCGGAGGAACACCATGATCATCAGGCAGAGTGGCAGGAAACCAGAGAGAGAGAGAGAGAGAGAGAGAGAGAGAGAGATGCCTATTGGTATGGCTAAGAGGCACTGCAAAGGAACTGTATATCCTTGATCTTTTCTGACTCTGTCTTGTGGTAATCTTTTAACTCCCCTACTCACGATCTTGAGTATTGTCTCTGAGTTGTGCAGTCGTTGCATGGGTTATTGAACCTGGCAGAAAGAAAGTTGCTTTGGGAGGGATTGTTGGTGTCAGAATAAGGTAGAAGGCTAGAAGGCACAGGCATGTCTGACCCTTGCCTTGTGGCAAATCAGACTGGTGTGGAGTTGGAGTCTCCTTCTTCTGAGTCTGGAGGTCAGATGTGGCCCTGCGCCACTTATGTAGTCATTTTAGGTTACTTATTATTTTTTCAAAGCTATGTATTTAATTTTTTTTTCATTATAGGTTATTTACAATTACAGCACATGATCTGCTAAGAGGACGTCAACGATAAAGTATCAAAAAATGTGGGGACACTAGGCCCGAATCTCACCTGACAGCACTCCCAACTGAACTAAAAATCTAGTTTGTTTTTCACTTCAAGGGTAAAACAAACAAATAAATGTTTATTGTTGTTATGTGCCGTTGTGTTGGTTCTGACTCATAATGACCTTATGCACAACTAAACGAAACACCACCTCATCCTCACATCTTCACAACTGTTACATGAAATAAGGTGATACTATTTTTGTACCAATTTCCTCAATTATTTTTAATTACCTTCCTTGATAATATTCAGGAACACATAAAAAATAATGTGATACATATTAAAAATTAACAAGGAAGGTAATTAAAATCACCGTAACTGAGGGAACTGGTACATAAAACAATGTAAGCAGTATGATTCGTAATATTAGACCCCTTTGCTTTTTTTGAAAAGAGAGAAATTGGTAAGAAATGTGAATGGAAAATAAGTTTCAGATAAATGAAGATATTAAGTGTTTTAGCATGCAATTAATGCTCCCTGAACAAATTTATCTGTGATAAAGATCTGATGAGGATTTGGGTTCATAAAGGATGGCTGTTTCAGTAATCCATAACCTTTGTGTTTACAGTTGACATACTCAACAAAACCACCTGAGATAGAGCTCAAATGTTCTGCAATAAAGCAGTCATTAAGGTTACCATAGCAGTGTCTGGACTGTAGTCATCAATTTGTTCAAAAGTATTTATGTCTTTATTTCCAAGTGCTATTTGAAGAGCTATAGAATCATCAATATACCTAAGATACTAAGATTAAGGAAAAATGCCTTTATTGGTGACCAAATAAAATGACATTGTATTAGGACAGAAAAATATTTTATGAGAGTCACAAAAAATCCTACAGTTTATGACTTAGGTAGATCTTACTTGCTATGATCAGTATTGCCAAAACCCCAGGCATAACTAATTAGTATGCATTTGCGAATGCAGGAGCTAGCCAGTTTTTGAAGCAAAATCCTAAGTCATCACTGAATGCCTTTCAAAGAGGACTGAGAGGAAAGTCATGGCCAGTGACGCAGAACTCTGATCGCTTTGGGTAGATGCGGCCTATGGCTATCAAAGCATTCTTCCTTGTACATTCACATACACAGAAAGTGTTTCCTGATAAACCTACATAATTCATCAGGAGGGGTTCTCACAAGAGCCACATTTGGAGGGTGTGCTATATGTAATGAACCCCTGTGTAAGTTTTTGTCAAGTTACTCAACAAATAATTAGCATCCTCTAACAAATAAAGCTCAGGTTTCTAAACAAAATATTGATCCACATTTTCAAAAGGATTTTTCATTAAAATAAAAATACAGATATATATATAGAAAGCAAAACAAATTTGCAAACTTTTTACAATGTTTTACTAAAATATCACCATAAAAACGTGAAAGAAATAAATGCAAAATTCTACTATTCTGTTTCGGAAAGGATACCACCCAGCATAGCTCAGCGTTTCAGGATCAACATCATCTTCATAGGCAGTCAGAGGAATAAGTCTCCTTTTGATGGGATCAAAAACTAGCTGGTAAAGGAAAGTATTGTTGGCTTGAATAAAGCCTTTGATGTAATCATCGGGTACTTTTATATTCATCTTGAGATAATGCCCAATTTTCTTGATAACCTAGCAATGGATGCAAAAGAAGAGTTAGTTGTAAGTTATCTGCAAACTAAAGAATGAAAACTAGCAGAGTCACTGGCATGAAGTTGAGTCCCACTCAGAACAACCATAGAAGACAGAGCAGATCAAATCTGCCCTTTTGGGTTTCTGAGGCTGTAAAACTTTAAGGAAACAAAAAGCCCCATCTTTCTCCTGTGGAGCAGCTGATGGGTTTGAACTGCTAACTTTCTGGCTAGTAGTCCAAGGCACAGGAACCAATTATCTCCAACACAGGTCCATCTAGAGAAGGGGTCCTCAAACATTTTAAACAGGGGGCCAAGTTCACTGTCCCTCAGACCCATTGGAGGGCCGGACTATAGTTTTAAAAAAACAAAACAAACTATGAACAAATTCCTATGCGCATGGCACATATCTTATTTTGAAGTAAAAAAACAAACAGGGCAAAAACACCCAGTGGGCCGGATAAATGTACTTGGTGGGCTGCATGTGGCCTGTAGTTTGAGGACGCCTGATCTAGAGGAATAATAGAGGAAAACTTGGAAGGGCAGGAAAAAAATCAACAGCTTCCAGCAAACACAACCATACCATATCACTTAAAAATAGAAATTTCCATAACTAGTATTTTATTTGGTTTTACTATTAAGCCGAAGACTCAGAAAATCTCATTTACACATCAAGTTTATGTTTCTATGTGTTTAAGATACCCTGCTCTCTTTCAATGTCTCATCCATACAGAAGGAAGGGAAAAAAGACATCAAATATTTTTAGAGCACATCACTAAAAATTAAGTTGACACTCTCTCTACCTTCTATTAGACTCAAGGATGGGTAAACTGAAAGCAGAAATGCTATACTTCACATTCATGGAGGAGGTGAAAACTCAGAACCTGAACTGACTTGGGGTCATAGGCTTGCTAGGGCATGTTCCACTATTCTATTCCCAGGTCTCTTCCACGCTCGGGAGCTTTCCATTGCACTACACTTCCTTGTCTTGGAACACTCATGCTTTTTTTCTTTTCTTAATAGTTTTAATGGCACATACTTCACATATCATACAATTTAATCCTTTATTCACATTAAGAATATTTGTGCAACCATCACCACGATAATTTCAGGACATTCTTCTCTTAGACTAATTGTTGTAGGTTCTCCATTCCCCTTCCACTCCCCACTCCCCTCCTCCGCTGCACACCCCAATCAAACTGCTGTCTCTACAGAGCTACCAGTCCTACATTTTATAGAGAATCATGCAAAACACAGACTGGAAGCAAAAAATCAAACAAATAAGAAAACCCCAACAACAAGGACACACAAAACAGAGAAAAACCTCAGTCAAGAAAGCAGAATATATTAAAAACTTAAACAACTTTAGAATGGGTCAAAATGGAGATCAAATAATAAGGTATTACATTTTAACCAAACTATAAGGTTATCCACAACTCAATTAAACACAAGTACAGTGTATTGCTGTAATCGTTGTTGGTCTTCAGCAAACTTTTACTTGTGTGTCATTATCAATGATATTCTATAGTTTGAGCGTTCTGTTGGGCTATCTTTCTTTAGAAGGGGCACAAATATGGGTCAGTTGGGCAAGTTGCTGTCTTCCAAATTTCTTGGCATAAACGAGTGAATGATTCCAGTGCTTCCGCTGGCTGAAACATTTCAGTGGGTATTCCAGCAGTTCCTGGAGCCTTGTTCAACCATTTGTCTGTCAGTTTGTCGGTGGCTTATGTGGTGTTGGAAGCTATGTCACTGGTATTTCAAATGCCAGTGGGGTCCAGATTTCAGCAGAGCATCCAGACTAAGAACAAATAGTGAAGAAAAACCCAGCTCCCCACTTCACAGGAAGAAGCCACTGAAAACCTTATGCATAACTTCGAAGAACTGTCAAAAACTGAAAGTCTAAACAAAGGAAGCAGAACATTGTTGGAGACACTGCTGGCAGATGGACTCCCTCAGGTCCAAGGGCACTTGAAATATGACTGAAGAGGAACTGATTTCTTAAGGGAAGTCGCCCATGGTAACGTGACTCGGGTAAAGCCTGTGGGCGTAGAGCCTTGGGCTTCTTCATTTGCTGATGGAGCATGACTCAAGGTAAAGAGAAACAGCTGCCAAAACCTTCTAATGACTGGAACTTGGAACGTGTGAAGTATGAATTTAGAAAAATTGGAAATGGTCAAAAATGAAGAGGAATGCATGAAGAACAGTATTCTAGGCATTAGTGCACTGGCATTGGCCATTTTAAATCAGAAAAATCATACGCGTCACTATACCAGGAATAACAAAATCAAGAGAAATGGCCTGGCATTGTCAGAAAGGATCTTGCTAAATCCATCATGAAGTACAATGCTAGTTGTAATATGATTATAGTTATTTGCCTTCAAGGAAAGTCAATCAATAAAACTATTATCCAATTTTATGCACTAACCACTAAGCCTACTGATGAAGAAATTGAAGAATCCTACCAATTCAGTCAAAAATTAATCAAACATGCAATCAAGATGCATTGATAAGTACTGGTGACTGGCCTTCCCAACATGATCACTCAAGACAAATGGGTACATAGGCAACTGTGGTGAAGAAAGCTGATGGTGCCCGGCTATCAAAAGATATAGCATCTGGGGTCTTAAAGATTTGACAGTAAACAAGCAGCCATCAAGCTCAGAAGCAACAAAGCCCACATGGAAGGCGCATAACAGCCTGTGTGATCACAAGGTGTCGAAGGGATCAGGTTTCAAGCATCAAAGGAAAAAAAAATTGTATCATTGAAAATGAGGGGCAGTATGGAGTGGAGACCCAAAGCCCATCTGTAGACAACTGGACACCCCCTTACAGAAAGGTTGCAGGGAGGAGACGAGCCAGTCAGGGTGCAGGGTAGCAATGATGAAACATACAACTCATCTTAAGTCCAAGGGAGTAAGTATCTCCACTCCATAAATCTACTATAGGTGAATTTGAGGTAAAGCCCAGTATGGTAGTTACATAATTTCATATCAACTTGAAGATATAAGTGAAGGGGTGGGCTATGATAGACTTTTCTTGGTGCCAACATGGCTCCTGTAGGAACATGTGGGCAGAGTTTAGCCTGTCAATTAGGTCACAGCTTGATTGGAGGGCTACTAAGTTAAATGGTTCTGCACGGCCTGGCCTCTTTCTTTTTCTCACTGGAGGTGGACCACACTCTCTCTGCTTCACCTTCCTATTGACGAGCCACACTGATGGCAGCCAGAGCCCTGGAGATGTGTCTACTGCCATTGGATCCACAGATTTTGAACCTACCTGCCGGTCAGGTTCCTGCATTTTGCACCATTGCTTGTGGTTGTGGAAGTCTGGAGAAGGACTTATGGGCTGGATCTGGATTGGGCTGGGGTGTTTTCCTAACACGCAATTACTTCTTGATATAAAGCTTTCTTACGCATATGAGTGTCCCTGGATTTGCTCTTCTAGTCAGCCTGGTCTAACACACCCAATTCACTTAGTGGGGTTTCCACAGGGAATAAAGTCCCAGTAGTCTAAAGCACAGAGCCTGGGACATCAAGGGCTGCATAGAAACTAGGTCAAAGGTATCCAATTAGGGGTCTTAGAGGCTTGAAATTAAACAAGATGGCTAGAAGTGGCCATCTAGCAGGGAAGGAACAAAGCCCACATGGAAGAAGCACACCAACCTGTGTGATCATGAGGTGTTGATGGGAAAAGGTAACAGAAATTCAACCACAAACACTACAATTGACATGAATGAGTATGGACAAAGTGGAGACCCAAAGCCTACCTGTAAAAGAATTGGATCGTCCCTTGCAAAAGGACCACATGGAAGGGATGGTATTTCTAGGGTGCTGTACAGCACTGATGAAATGCATAACTACCCTCTAGATCTGTCATATTTCCTCCCCCTTACCATAATGTTTTACCTCATTATTCTTGTAGGACCTGTGTAGTTGTTACTAGCTGGAATAGACTTAATAGTAGTGGTTTATAGGTTACTGACATAAAAGAATATCCATATCTTAGGTTTTATTCTAAGAAACGTTTTTCAGAAATGGAATATGAACTATGGTAAAGCACTCTTACCTTTACAATGTCTGGATTATTAGCTAATCTTAGAAGTTTGCATGCCTTTGCTAATCCAATTCCACGCAGTGATGAGAGGTAGTCACAGCCCGAGAGGATACACATATAACGGAACTTCTCTTCTGTGAACATATCTCTAAGCTGTTTGCACATTCCTAGACGAGCCTGATCAATTTCTAGTCCATTTCCAAGTTGGTCCATTTTTAAAATAACCTTCCAAAGAAAGAGTTTGTTAATACTTTAAAAGTCATTTATTTCTTTTATTATCTCATTCATTTTAATAATTAAAAAATAACATTAGAAAGAAATCTTGTTCTCTACTGTTATATTAGAAATTTAGGTATAAATTATACTGAAGTATAGGATATGACTTGACAAAGTTATACAAGGTGACTTCAAAAAGTTTGTGGTGGAAAATGGAATGAAAAGTGTTTCTATTAACTTTTTGAGGCTCTTTCATCTAGCCAGTCAAAAGCTAGGATTACAACTCTCCTCACCACAGGACACAGAATGAATACCCTTCCTGCACTTCTCCACACTCATATCACAGGACTGTCATGACAGTTCCGTAGTGATACATACTTAAAGTTTTTTCTGCCTTTACATTTTAAAATTAAAATTTTTTCTTCTTATTAAAGAAATATATATTTATTATAAAAAACAAATTCACAAAGAAAACACAAGTCACTCATTTGTCATTATTATCATCCAGCACTAACCTTTTGCTATAGATCACTCTTGGGAAATATATTATAGACTGTATATAGATATTAACAAGAATAAGGTCATCCTACAGTTCTGTATTTTAATCTTCCTCTCAATTCATTTTCCATGAAATAATTTCACCTAGAACTCTAAATAACTGCATAAACTCAAACTCACTGCCACTGAGTCAACGCCAATTCATACCACCCTTACAGAACAGGGTAGAACTGCCCCTGAGGGTTTACAAGACTAAACTCTTTTAACTTTACATCTTTCTCCCACGGAGTGGCTACAAGCTTTGAACTATTGACCTTAAGGTTTGCAGCACAACTATGCCACTAGGGCTCCTAAATAACTGCCTAGCATCCCATTATAAGATATATTAGTCAGCTGCCTAACCTAATTGTTAGGCATATAAGCTCTCACTGTTAAAAAGTTAAGACTAAATGAACTTTACGTTTTAGTATGTTTTAGTATGTCCAATCTTCAGGTCTTACTTTAAAAATGTCCGATATTATACTAAATGCCTAGCAAAAAACTCTTCTTTATAATTTAAATAATTATCAATATTGTAAAAGCAGATGTTGATTGTAGATATTAAATGAATAAGTTATTCCTGGATAGTTAAAAAACTTTAGCTCCTAGAATTACTCTATTTCCATCAAGGTAGAAAAGTAAAATGTAGTCAAGTACCTTCTTACAGCCAAAGGCTAGGAGATCGGAGTCCTCTGTGATAATAGCTTGTACAATGCCGGCTTTGTTAAGATAGGCCAACTGTGCATCAGCTTCATATGGAGCCACAAGACAGTCGACTCCCTGGGACCGAGCAGCCTATAAAAGGATCACTGTGAATATCTAGCACAGTATCTTTTACTAAATACCTAGCACTAAATAACTTCCTATCTCTAACCCATTTTATTACTAGCCTCACCATGTAATATTTCCTGAAGTCACTTCAGGAAGTTGTAATTTTGTACTTTTAGTCCCAGTATGTGCTGAACTAGTCATATGGTCACTGAGAATTAAAAAAAAAAATCAATTTATAAATATGGAGAGGAGAAATAGAACTACACATTAAAAGGGGAAAAATATTAAAAGTTATAAGGTACAAAGCTTAATGACTTCAAATTATAGAAAACTTTCATCTCAACAATGGTTGTGTTCCCCAAAGTACATAAGACACTTGTTTGGAGCTTTTGATGTTATTTTCCCCAGAAAAATAATGAATACCTTTCCCTAACAGGTTTTTATACAAAGTCTATCTTACTTTAATACATGAAGCATAATCCTGTACTGGATTTTACCTAGTATAAAATCTAATCTTTATATTTAAACCAACCCACTACGGGAAGAGACTTTAAAAACCAGCTACCACCATATCCCTTATTTCTAAATCCAGGAAGGTGGAAAGGAAACTTCCAAATCAGGGTCATGGCTCCCAGGCCTGAGGCAGACACTGTGAGAAGAAAGGTTTCAAGGTCCTGTGACTACATTTTCACAAGTTCTAATCTGTGCCATTCCCATTTTTTTCTTGCTCATTATCCTTTCACAACCTTACACAACCAAGGTTTCTACTTCCACAAATGCAAAAATCATAATTTTTGTCTTTTATTTTACACCTTCTCCTGAATATCATCTTCTACCATATAGGAGCAAAAATGCACCCACATGAAGGGCTCAAGTAAAAAGTAAATGTTTTGACAATGATGATGTAACAAATATACAAATGTGCCTGACACAATGGATGGATGTATGGATTGTGATAAGAGTTGTATGCCCCCAATAAAATGATTGAAAAAATAAAATATAATACAAAAAAATGCAACCATATGATAAATAGCCAGAAGAATGTTGGCCCTTAGTTGAGCTCAGGAGCTAGTTAACATTACTATAAGCTAGAAAAAAGTTGACTGCACCTTTATCACGACTCCCTCAGCATCAGTTTGAAGGTGAAGGTTCAGACTGCAGAGCACACTGATGGCAGAGTAAGAAAGATGGGGGAGGAAAGGGCTTATGCAAAGAAGCAGATCAAGGGGAATGGTATAGAGCTCCTGACCGCACAGACCTCTACGAGTGGCTTTTAATCGGAGGGTATGTTAAGCTGTATGACAGTGGAGTGAGGTTGCATTCCAGGAATTTGTCCTTTCTGTTCTATGATACATGCCCTCTGAAGCTCATCTACTGAAATTCTTTATCAAGAGAGCGTACCTCACTTGTTTCTTAGGCTCCCCCGGGAAGTTGCTGGATACATTTCCTACTGTGTCCTTATTTTCTGACATCTGCCCTTTCCTTCAAGTTCAGGCTACAGCAATTTTCCTGTCTTGAATCTCTTGTTTTCCCACAAATAAGCAACTTATAACTCGCTTACACCAACTTCAGTCAACCGAAACCAACTCTGGCTTCCTTTCTTTTTTACCACTTACTTGAATGACTTTGTGCGCCATCGCGTGCGTGATATTGATAGCGCGCGTGAAACACTCTCTGGCTTCGGAGAGCTTGCCTTCACGAAGAAGCTGCTTTCCTTTAAGAAGACTGGCTTGTCGTCTTCTGCAAGGGAGAAGATGTTTAAGAGACTGACTTGAGAGACTATGATTGAGCTGTCCTTAAAGAGACTTTCTTGAAATAAAAATTTCATTCATTTAAAAATAAACATTACACCCTTGAGAATACCGGCTCAGATGCTTTGGGCCGCTCAGCAAAAAGAATGAATGAGATATGATACAAGATATTAAATTATTATTACTTCTTCACAGAATAACTTTCTATTTCTATCAAAAGAGAGTAACTAAGACTCAAGAAAAGAAAATGAGAGCAAACCTTTCACACTATCAAAACTAACTTTAAAGAATACCCCCCCACCCCACCCCCTGCTCCCCCCCCAGAAGAATTTACTTTAGAGGATGGCACTGAAGCTGCAGCTCGGGGAGAGGGACATGTCTGATCAGAGCACACGGGAGCAAATGAACGGGGAGGAAGAAAGAGTGGAGCACATCCTGGCCCACCAGGCCTGGAGGACGATATCCCCGTTCAGAGTTGCCAATGCACAGTGGACCATATGGCTGATCCCACTACGAGACATGATGTCCCTTACTGATGCATGGCCCTACAGGGGACAACACTGGAGACTCACGGGATTGGCCCAGTCTGACCCCACCACACCGAGGCAAAACACTAAGGGCGGGCAGCAGAGCAAAGGCGGTGCCAGAGCAGGGAGCTCCCGAGGGAGTGCAAAGGATAGACTTTGGGGCCAGAGCGTGGCACCCCATCAGACTTGACTGGAGGACACACCAAGACGTCAAAAATCAGACCTTGATCTATTTGCAGGTTTTTGTTTTTTCTCTTTTAATTTATTTTTTAACATGAATTTATTCTTTTCTTGGTCATTGGTTTTCTTTATTGTTGCCATCAGGGTATTCTCTTTTCTTGCTTTTTCTTGCTATGCCTTGTTTTTGTGTGCATATTATTATCTCTGCAGGTCTATCTAGATAAGATAGGCTAGATGAACAATCTGGAGAAAACAATGGGACCAGTGGTTCCAGGGGGACATGGGAGAGGGGAAGGCGGGAGAAAGGAGGTGGTGTTGACCAACCCAGGGACGAGGGAGCAACAAGTGATCCAAAATTAGTGGCAAGGAAGGTGTGAGAGGCCTGGTAGGGATTCAGCAAGGGCAATGTAACCAAGAGAAATTACTGAAACTCAAATGAAGACTGATCATGATAGTGGAACAAGAGGAAAGTAAA